AGCCCTTTTTGCCACCAATCCCTAATCTCCCACCATGGAGAAATCCCCTCCTCGCTTGCTCACCCTCTCCGTCACGGGCAGCGCTGACCCCAGCGGGGATCGGGGGAGCCATGTAGGGCGGACAGGGCAAGAGATGCCAGCAGTACCTGCTACCACCTTCCTGCTTCACTTTGGCCCCGGTTGCTGCCATGCTGCCCCTTTTGCCCTGTCTGGGTATCCCCATCCCTCCCCAGGCCCGTACCCCGGGGCACCCACCTGGCCCCTGATTACCTGCCCCGAGGTGGAGGGCACCTCGGGCCCCACGTCCTTGGCGGCCGAGGGTTGATCCGTGGGCACCGGGCTGCCCTTGCCCGGTGACCCACCACGGCCCCGGGCGGCCACGCGGGACCAGATCTTGAGGCCAAACCGTGGGGCCTGGCGGGAGCCGCGGCTGCCCCTCTTGCCGGCACCATGGCCCCCATCCCTGCGCCGGCGGGATGTGCCCGGGAAGGCAGGCAGCGTGGAGCGGGTGCTGCCACTGTCACCGCCCACCCGCCGCGACCCTCGGAAGAAGAAGAACATGGCCGATGGCGTCCCACCACGCACACCTTCTTGCTGTGCCTGCTCGCAAGGCCAGCCTGGACCTGTGTGGCCGCCTGCCCTGAATCCGATTCCCCCATTCCCGGGAGTGAGATTGCAGCGGGGGTGGGAGGGAAACCAGATCTGCTGGGGTGGACACACGACCCGCACCTGTCTCCGCTCACTGCAACAATGACACCGGGCGAGACGATCCTGGGTGGCCCGAAACCGGAGCACGCATGGAAGAGGGGCGGGAGAGGAGAGAGGTGGGGGACAGTGTTGCCTCCATGGGGGGTGTGGTGGGAGTTGGACGGGGGCAGCGTTGCCCCGACGGGAGGGTTGTGGGGAGCTACAGCCGCCGCTGTTCTGGCAGGACAGTTGCGGGGACAGACGTGGGCTCCTCAGTACTGGAGTGATGGGCGGGTGCAGGGACAGACAGAGGCAGGGCAGCCTGGACGGGAGGGTGGTGGGGACGGAGCCGGGCCTGGGACGGCGCGGGGCTGCAGGGGGTCAGCGCAGCCCCCCCAGCTCCCGAGGACAGAGCGCGGGGTCAACGGTTCCTCGCGCGGCCCCGACGGCGCCGCCGCCCCGCCCCG